CTATCTTGCGTTGCTAAGTGAGGAAAAATGGAAGCAAGCCAAGGATGTGTTAGCATTGGAGGAGCAAACTCTTATCAACAACACTGCCAAAGAGTTTAAGCAGCACATGGAAGGAGATATGAAGACCCCAACAATTAAGCTGCTTGATACCCAATACCAAGCTATTCTGTGGGAGGTGTTCCTGACCAGCAATCCCGAGGAAGCTACTACTGCTGCTAGTGCTACTAGTAGTAGTACTAACAGACGTGCTGCACCTGCTACATTGGGCGACGATCAAACCAAAGAAATCATGGAACAGATCAAAGGAATCATCCACCTGGTCAAACAAGACATCCTTGAGGAGATACAGGCTATTAAATCCCATGGCCCTAGAGAACAAAAACTAGGCCATGATCAAGTCGTCAGTGCCATCCAAGATGCCAAGAACAAGATTACACAAATTGGCCTCAAAATTAAGGAGCAGATGATAATTAAAGGAATGATAGATAGAATAAATTTATACTTAAAAGATGGAGACACATTATTCATTATCGTGGAGGATGAAAACAGAAGACATGAACTTAAGTGGGAGGATATCATGAATGCTTTGGAACTGTTGAAGTGCGCCAAGGGCAGTGCCGTGATAGTGACCACAAAGAACACCCAGAAGGCCAGTGAGTTTTGCTACCCACCAAGTGAGCCTATAACATATTCTCTTGTTGGACTCTACCATGATATTGTGCTCAAGCTCACACAACAACTGGTGAATAATGAAGATGACAACAACAATTCCCAGATTCTCCGCGACATCTTGGACAAGTGCCATCCACATGAATTTTGCATGAAGATGTTCGCTCGTGCTTTGTATGCTAATCCCAACAGGAGCAATAAAGAACTAGGCAGGCTACGTGACACACTACAGATTTCAGAAAACTCGTTGGATACTAAAGCCAAGAAGATATTCAAGTTCTCCTACAGAGATCTGCATAGAGAACACAAGACCTGCTTGCTATACTTAGCAATCTTCCCTCAAGGCACCAACATTAGGCGATCAACCTTAATAGCACGATGGCTTACAGAAGGACTAATAACAAAGGAAGACTGGCCTACCGCAGTTCGCCATGCCGAGCGATGTTTTGATGCTCTCATCGACCGGTGTCTTGTTTCTCCAGGTGATATTAGTGCTAAAGGAGAGTTCAAGAGCTGCATGGTTGGTGATCTTATCCATGGGTTTATCACCAAGATTGCTAAGAAACAACACATTTTGGATGCACGCTTATCACATACTGGGCACACCACTTCTCTGTCTTCAGCGGTCTCCGACTCCGTGCCTCTGACAGCATAGACATGTTTGTGAAGAAGCTTCATAATTATTCATCTCAACTATCACTACTCAAGTTGCTAGATCTGCAAGGTTGTCAATGTTTTGACAAAAGCAGCTACCTTAAGGCCATCTGCAACAACATAGCACTTCTCAAGTATTTGAGCCTGAGGAGGACAAATATCACCCATCTACCCAGTGAAATCAACAACCTCCATGACCTAGAGATATTGGATATCCGGCAAACTAAGGTTCCTGAGAAGGAAACAAAGCTTGTCCTGCTCCTAAAGCTAAGGCGCTTGCTCGCTGGTTACACTGATCCAAGTCCAAGCTTTAATGACAAGGGCACAAACAATAGGACATTTTCCTGTGTCCGGATTCCTTCCAAGATTGAGAAAATGGAAAATATGGAGGTGTTGTCTAATGTCACGGCTTCATGGTATGGCTATGAATTGAAAGACATAAGAAAGCTATGGCAGCTAAGGAAGCTTGGTGTGGTTATCAAAGATAAAGACAGACACCTCCAGAATTTGTTTCAAGCGGTTGGTGACTTGAATGAGTGCCTTCAATCTATTTCGATCACTATAACTGACACCAGAAGTGAGACCACCTCAAAAGATTCAAAAATACTATCAGATGAACTTTACAACCGCTTGATACATCCACCGAAGCTTCTGGAGAGTGTAAGCATCAACGGATCCACAAATCTACGGATTCTCTCATTATTGGCAAAAGGTAGCAATGAGCTTACCAAGGTAGCTTTGAGTGGCACCAAGTTGAGACAGAAAAATCTGGACATGCTTGCCGACCATCCCAAGTTACGCAGTGTCAGGCTCCGACAATGATGCATACAATGACCCTAGCCTAACGTTCAAGAAGGAAATGTTTGAACATCTCAAATGCTTACTTGTCGACGGAGATAACCTGAAGTGCATGACGGACATCATCTTTGAAGAGGGAGCGGCTGTTGAGCTTGAGAAGATCGTCTTGTCCTCTACCAATGTTAGGTCCCTTCGTGGGGTCGGTCGCCTTCCAATGTTGAAGGAGCTCGAGTTGAAAGGCAACAAATCATTATTTTCTTTCCATGGAGGTGTTCCGTTGTCTGGAGATGGAGGAGCTCATCAGGAAAGCAACGAGCCAGTTTCACATTCTAAAGATGGGGCTGCTCCTCAGAAAAACAATGACGTACATGTTTCACCTTCTGAAGATGGAGCAGCTCCTCACACAAGTACTGATGGACAAGTTCCACCTTCTGCAGAAGGACCAGCTCCACAGATAAATACTGAGGTAAAGATTACATTCAAGAAGGGAGAATTCCAGCAACTCAAGTATTTTCTTTTCGAGGACTCCAAAATTGTCGACATCATCATTGAAAATGGAGCGGTTCCTGAGCTTGAGAGGATCATCTTGTTGTTGACTAGAAAGGAGTCCCAGCTTACTGTGTCTGGCAGCCGAGCAAAATTGAAGGAGATCGAGGTGAAGGGTGACAAGTCAATCCTCCTTTCGCTACTTAAGAATGCTAATAAAATTGAAAAGGTGATTCTCTGTGTTACCTCACTGAACAGAGATGAAGCTGGACGCCTAGCCAAGAAACAAAACATTTGCTGCCTGGTGCTCTAGGAAAATTCTTATGAAGAAAGCGAGCTTACCTTCAAGAAAGATGAGTTTCCAAAGCTCAACCTTCTTACTGTCCGGTGCTCCAAGATAGAAAAAAGAGTCTCGCTCCGATGCTTTCTACTTGTAGTAGAAATTAATCCGAGCCATTGATCGTATTTAATCGTAGGTTTGAGATCTAATTCTACTCCCACCAAATTTTATGGGAGTAGAAATGTAGAGGGGTATATTTGTCCAAAGATAATAATTCACGTAGGGGTATTATTGTAATTTGTAATTATCTAACTGTTCACTCTCTAACCGTCCAAGTACGTGATAACAGAGATAACAGGGGATCAGAACGGATTAACAGCGGCAAAATTGGGGATCGATACGGGAAAAATAGAAAATAGATTAAAAAATCTGCCGAGATCGGTAGTAATAAAAAAAAAAGAAACCTTGTCTCCAAGTAACAGGGGATCAAAACAGAATAATAGAGCAGAATAATATGGGATATATTATCTCCAAGTACGGGATAAAAAATGGGGATAGATTCCGACAAGAATTTACAACCGACGTCGGACAACCATGCGTGTCTTTTTAAAAATCGACCCGTCCGGACGGTCGTGGACTTGATTTGTATTTGTACAAAATAAACCGTTTTGCCATATTCTAGGAGCGATCGATCGGAAAACAATGGTTTTTTAAAATCGACCCAGTCCGGACGGTCGCGGACTTATTTTTTTATTTGTGAGAAATAAACCGTTCCGCTATAATTTATGAGCAATCGACCAGAAAACCATGGTTTTTTAAAATTGTTCCGGTCACGGACTTAATTTTTTATTTGTTCAAAATAAACCATTCCGCTATATTCTATGAGCGATCAACCGGAAAACCATGGTTTTTAAAAATTGACCCGGTCGCGGACTTAATTTTTTATTTGTCTAAAATAAACCGTTCCGCTATATTCTATGAGCGATCGACCGGAAAACCATGGTTTTTAAAATCGACCGGGTCGCGTACTTAATTTTTTATTTGTCCAAAAGAAACCGTTCAGCTATATTCTAGGAGATATCGACCGCAAAACCATGGTTTTTTAAAATCTACCCTTTTCGGACTTAATTTTTTATTTTTCCAAAATAAAGTGTTCCGCTATATTCTATGAGCGATTTACCAGAAAACTATGGTTTTCTAAAATCAACCCGGTCGCGTACTTAAATTTTTATTTGTCCAAAAGAAACCGTTATGATATATTCTAGGAGTAATCAACCGGAAAACCATGGTTTTTTAAAATCGACCCGGTCGCTGACTTAATATTTTATTTGTCCAAAATAAATTGTTCCGCTATATTCTAGGAGCGATCGATCGGAAAACCTTGGTTTTTTAAAATCGACCTGGTCCGGATGGTCGCGGACTTAATTTTTTATTTGTACAAAATAAACCGTTCCGCTATATTCTATGAGCGATCGACTGTAAAACAATGGTTTTTTAAAATCGACCAGGTCGCGGACTTAATTATTTATTTATCCAAAATAAACCATTCCGCCATATTCTAGGAGCGATCGACCGGAAATCCATGGATTTTTAAGATCGACCCGGTTCAGACGGTCACAGACTTAATTTTTTATTTGTCCAAAATAAACCATTCCGCTATATTCTAAGAGCGATCGACCGGAAACAATTGTTTTTTAAAAACCAACCCAGTCATGGACTTAATTTTTTATTTATCCAAAATAAACCGTTCCTCTATATTCTAGGAGTAATTGACCAGAAACAATGGTTTTTTAGAATCGTCTCGGTCGAGGACTTAGTTTTTTATTTGTCCAAAATAAACCGTTCCGCTATTATGTAGGAGCGATCGACCGGAAAACTATGGTTTTTTAAAATCGACCTAGTCGCGGACTTAATTTTTTATTTGTCCAAAATAAACCGTTCCGCTATATTCTAGAAGCGATCGACAAAAAAACAATGGTTTTTTTAAAATTGACCTAGTCACGGATTTAATTTTTTATTTGTACAAAATAAACCGTTCCGCTATATTTTAGGAGCGATCGACCGGAAAACCATGGTTTTTTCAAAGAAAATGGCAGTATCTCATACAAAATAATTAAGCCACATAAGAACAATATTTTTCTATATCTTGAACCCAACATATGGAAAGAATCTCTCAAACATGTATCACTTTGGTAAGTAACTATACATTGCTTGCTGTTTATTTCCTGACAAAAATGTCGATCATATGAATTGGCCAAATTGGAATCGAATAGAATGAAATAATGTATCCTGACTACATAAAGTGCAGTTCTTCAAAGCTTCTGGTTATTTTGCTGTTACTCCACTAGAAATGTGCAAGGCTTCAAGAACCAAAACATGCTACTGGAGCTCCCTTCTGTTTCACCATCTCTCACTAAGAACCTGACCCTGCTATGCATGTATACAGAAGGTTAGGAAAGTAAAAGAAGGCATTTGCACGACTGAGAATATTATTGATGGATAAGGTAAAAAAGGGTGTCCATGACAACTAGTCCTGCAAGATCATAAAATGCAAAATCTCCTGAGTTCTTCTCACAAACTTCTGTAAATTATAGCATGGCTTGATAAGAGAATACAGTGCTCAAGTGGCCTATATGTATTTTCAGAGCTGATCCGAAAAAAAAAAGTATTGGGGAAGGTTAAAAATCCTCCTGTTTGCACACTATATATAATAGCTATTGCTGCCATTAATCCAATAAAAAAACAATGCCATTAATACAAAAGATACAAAGTTTGTGAGCCACAATAACCTTATTGGTTATTTGTGTGCAATGTCTCACTGAATGGCCTTCGTCTCTTGGATGGAGCTATCCTTTTGCCCTAATCTCGGACTGTCTTCTCTAATGGCTGGTTACAAGCTCAGCACAGCAAGACATTGAGAGAAAGAGACGATGATACAAGCTCAGAGGATCATATTCTTCTGAACAGCAGGTCACTGAAAGTGTTAAAGCAGATCGAAAAAAGAAGGTCAACACTCAGCTGCTGTTCTTTTCCGTCCAGAAGTTATAAGCTGCATGGATTATATGGCATGAAGAAATTTCAGAATAATGCGGAGATTACCGTGAGTTTGATGTAATAGAAGGAAGGTGGAAAGAGGTACTAACAGATGAAGATAGGTCAGATGTCTTCAGTACTCTCAGTCTCTTAACTGAAGAAACAAACATCCTACATGATTTGGAGTTTCAGACTATCAGATAAGCAATTCTACAATCCTTTTGAGAAGGTACTATGAGATAAAAAAAATTTAGTGATACCAAGAGGTACCAAATTTACAATAAAAAAAATGATACCTCATGGTATCTCCTTAAGAACCGTAAAATTGCTCCTATCAAATAGGAGGCATGGTCTAGTTTGATGGTAGAATTATTTTTTCTCAGTTTGATAATCATTTGATAATCAATAAAACTGAAAAAAAAATTAAGGCAATAGACTGCATATCATTTTTAAGCATTGCTGTTTGCGTAATCAGTATCCAATAAATGTAGTAACTTTGTTTACTACTCTCTGAAAATGCAAGGTAGAACGGAAAACACACCCCCACGGCACATCTCCAACAAGCACCCTGTCACCTTCATAATCTCCAGTTCCATCTAGCAAGCCAGATATTGCCACACCTTCCTGCCGGCAGTTGTTTGCTCCAGCAGCGAGGGGGTCTCTTTCGGCTTAAATACAACAATGCAAATTGAACACATCGGATCAGATACTGATCTGATAACCCAGCCATTCAAATTTCAAAATACTGAAATTAACGAGGAAATAACTTGCAAACTTTCGAAATAACATAAAGAAACAATTTATGCAGTGCCATTGTTCAGTATCAGTGGAAAACTCTGCAGATACTCTATCATAAACTACAGTCGCAATTGAATGATTTGTTTTTGTTACAAAACAATAGAGTTGAGGTTCATATACCTGCAAGAAGGCCTCGGAATACCTTGTCAACCGCTAAAGAACCTTTCAATCAGTTTGGCAAAAACTAATTACAGAAAATATATGGGAAAACAAATACCGCGCCGGGGGCTCGGGGGTGGCGCGACCAGCGCCGCCGCCTGCCGGGAGGACTAGCGGAAACCGCGGTGATGCAGTGATCCGTCGGGGGCTCGGGAGAGATGCGGTGATGCGGTGCCTGCGTCGGGGGGTCGGGGGCAGCGCCGCCGCCTGCCGGGAGGAGAAGCAGAAATCGTGGTGATGCGTGGGGGGGAGGGGGGGGGGCGAGATGCTTTGCGTCGAGCCACCGATTCCGCCGTACCTGATAAGACAGATAAATCATCCCATTCCAAAATTACCCTTAATTTATATTAACAGATTACTAATCTATCCTTTAAGATAAACGGCCGAGATTAATTCTATTTGGAGTAGAATATTGCAAGTATAGTGCACCGGAGCGCCTCTCTAGAAAAAATCATCTTCAACAAGGGATCTGCTCCTAACCTTGAGAAGATCATCTGGTCACGGCCGTCCTTCGCTGAGTTGGAGCCTCTCCCTGGCATTGGCAATGTTGAGAAATTGAAGGAGCTTGATCTGGACTGTGACAATGTCCCTAAGCAGGTGAAGAAAGACATCAGAGCACATAAAAATAAACCTGTTCTTACACCTAAGAAGCCGCAGCGTCAGGATCAAGCACTAAAAGAGGAACATGGCGATGAATCATGGCTTCGGCGTGGCTGTGCCAGCTATTTCTCGAAGAAGGAGGATCAGCAGTAGCTGATCGAGGAAATTAATGTCTCCATTATATCCTTTGATGATATATTACTCATCGTCGCCTGAGTGTGTGTGTGTGTGTGTTTGCTTCTTCGAATAAACCATGTGCGTGTGTGCGCCGCACGCACCTGCATTATGCATGCTGATTGCTTTGTGTGCATTCAAGTGTATCGATTTGGATTTGTATCACTGTGTGTGGTGTGTGGCTTTCGTCCGGATAATCTGGTATATGGACAGATGGGTCCATCTATGTAAACGTAATTGTGACATTTGGCTTGTCAATTTAGTTTCCTTATGTGTGCTGCACGTCTATCATCTCATTATGTGTCGCACTGCTACACCAAATGGCTGAAGTTGCAGGCCATGCTGAATGAAAACTCTGCTCAAATATGTTGCTTGTTCTCTCATCTGACATTTTTTTTTTCTTATTTTTCCGCAAGCTCCCTTGTCTTTTCTAGCTAGCTAGCTTGCCTGCATCATCAGCTCTTACTCTTATTGCTGCAGTTCTCTGCATGTGCAAGAAGGGGACAAAAACAGATGACAGATCAGGTTAACCCAGAAGAAAAACATAGTGTCAGGTACGTGAGAGGAATGAGCAGACAATGTGATTAGAATTGGCAGGTGATTCCAGTCCGGTATTTGGATTAATCTCAAAAACTCCACAACAAAACAGACCGGTTTAATCTGAAAATCAAATCCCAGCTAGTGCCCCATCCAAATAAGTATTACTTACACTAATCATCGTGCTGAACTATTGAACTGTACTTAGCGATATTTCTTATGTATGGAATTATTGGTGCTATCTTCTATTTTATCAGCTCGATATCGAAATGTCATTATCATCGAGAAAACATAAAAACGATGCTGGACAATGATATTTAATTAGAACATGTTTTTAGTAACCATAGTACAAATCAAATAATATGTGTGTCATCATGTGTGCACATCACACCTACACACGGAAAAGAAAGAAGGAAAGGAAATTAGATGTGACAATGCACTGCTCGTCTGCCCGCGATACAATAGAAGCTCAGGTGAACAAGTGATGCAATGTAATCACATATACTAATCGAAACACTAATAAAGAAAGCAGAATTGTAGATGATGATGTGAGTGACTGTTCTACCCTGCAGCGCTCGCGATCGTGGGTGTTCTGTTCAGGCGACGCTACACTCCATCGATCCTCGCTTCTGATCGCACTTCACCAATCACCAGCCAACCTCGCCCCGCGCGCCTATGAACGTGAGCCCGCGCACCCTGCATTATCCCCGGTCCCCCGCCTCCTGTGCGCACAAACCGCCGCCTTCCTCCGAGAAACCGTCGGTACTCCCTCCGTTTCTACCCCCTGCTTGCCGCGAAGGTTTAATTAGAAGGAAAAATGTGCATCGTAAATTATATATAAGTACAATGTAAGATTAAAAACTACCGTAAGTAAAAAAACAGATATTTGAAGTTTGTTCACGTCAATATGAGTAGAACTTTTACCTGCAGTACACCTCTACAAATACTCCTAAGCTACAATGGACATAATAAATTACCATAATTGTATAAATGACTCTTCTATTTTTTAGCTATCAACCAAATATATAAAAATAATAATAATTAGATAGATATTCATAACTCTCGAGTATATATCCAATATCCAATTTTTAATTTGTTTAAACTATTATTTATTTAGATGTTATCATATGTTTCTGTACAAAAATTATAATACGTCACCTGGATATAGCAAACCCAAGAAAAGAATTATCAGGGCATCACTTGGATATATACCCTTTCTTTTAATTGCGATCCTAGCAAAAAATTATCAGGGTACTACACATATAAATTATGTAATTGTTGATTGATATATATTGATTAATATGACATGAATATAGCTAGAATCGAATAATCTACCCAGGAAGGTGAATGTAGAAAGGCCAATGTATCTTTTACATACCAATCAAACAACAATAAGATATATAAAAAAATGTACATATATTTTATCATCTTAAACCATTTAAGAAACATACACCGTGAATAATTTTCATATAAAAGAATAATTTATCTAGTGGTCACAATGAAACATTAAAAATAAAATAAACATGTATTATGTGATCTTAAGTTATTCCATAAAACTGCATAGCTATATTAGATCGATGGTGTTAAAATAAAAATTATAAATGAAACTATGAAAATAAATTTATGCATAAATTTAATTTATCTAGGTCCATACTCCTACACTTTAAATGTCATCCAAATTGTCATACAACATATACTGCATCATCATACATTACTTTGCAAGCATGCATAGAAAAATTAGATATATAATATGTAAGTGAAAAGAACAGATTTAACTATCAATAACATAAATTATAAAAAAAATATTGTACCTTTAGTTGGATGCAACAATATCTAATTAATTATGTCTTTTGAAATATGCTCAACTGACGAGATAAATTAAATCGGCTGATTTGTATATAAGAATTCTAAAATATAGTATACATTATCATTTAATGGACTTAAAGGTAAAAGAAACAAATGAATATTACTATGGCTTCTATATCTTTTAGATATAAAGATAAATTTGTCTATTTTATATGCGTAGACCATTAAAAATGTGAATACTCCTATATATGAATATTAATAGGCCTCGAGCATGTTCATTGTTCCTATGCATGCATAACCAACTTAAAAATCCATTTAGATTTTCTGATATAATTTACTATGTATGAGTATTAATATTATTTAGATTGACTATACTTTTTCTTTTAACTACTGTACGGGTCTCACGTATCATAGAGAAACAATGTGTAGGGTAAATATATTTTTTTCCATATTTACTAATTCACATGCAAGCATATAACAAATTATATGCATATGAACCAATTAAAGCAATGACGATGGTACAAATAATATATATTTGTCAGTAGTAAAAGTTTCGCGAGGTTTCTTAAGAAAATAGAGACAATGGATCGGACATCTATCTATTATCTATTATATATTATTAAAAGCTCATTAAACTTTCTACAAACACAATCAAACTATCACGTGTGACTCCTACAAACGATCCTAAGTGGCCACGTGGCGCTTTAATAAATTAGAGGAATTTCTAATAATTCTTAGAAAAAGAAACATATCTGACCATTAATTTTACTTTAAACTCAGTGGACCCACTTTGTACCATTAGATTTGCTAACAAAAAAGTAAAAGTCCCTAAGGCCCATAGGGGCTGTCCATATCGTTTACATATTGTGCACGTACGTACGCTACATCTTCCCCCCTTATGCAAGCTCCCCTCCTCTGTATAGAAAATATATTTTGTGATAAGCTAAATCATATAGCTAATATTTTACGTACATCACTAGATTATTTACTACAAAATTTATAATTAAAGACCCCAACTATTGGATCTATCTCAAAGGAAACAAAACTCCTCCCCTCCTTATGTTGTACATACATGCTCCCGCAAGAAAAATCAGGTATCTATTCTATCTTTATTATCCATATGTAAAAATATATAACAAATTGCCTTAATATGAACCAATTAAAAGGAGGGCTAGCTTGATGGTACATTATTAACAATAATAGTTTTTCAAGATTTATTAAAAGAGCCCCAAAACATTCAACTAAAAAAACACATTACTTTTAATTTGAACTTAATTCTTAATTTGTTACACATGTTTTCACCTCTATTTTAAATGGTGAAGAAGAAAATAATAATTACGAATACGGATGCATTAAATATTACATACTAGTATAAAGGTAACAGATACCTAACAAAAGTTATTTAGGCAAAGTCGGCAAATAAATTTATGAAGAAAACATATTTCTGAAGTTTGGCATGTATGGTTGATATTCCTGGTAAGTTTCTCAAATATAGCCTATGATATACATGCCCGCGCATTAGTCTACCATTGTCCTAATTTAGATAATTGTCAAACTAAAAGAGATAAATAATTAAATTCCCCCTTACGCTAGAGCCAGATCGGCACTCGGCAGTTGCTAGTCGCTACCAAAGCCAACAAAACCGAGGAGAAGTTGCTCCTCCTCCATGGTTTCGTAGCATGACCACGCGCCACCACAGATTCTCAAGATTCATCAAAAACTCAAGTTCCCCATCCAAATCCAAGCGAACCCACGCAGAATCCCCGGACGCCTCCTCGACTCCATCAAGCGCGATTCCACCACGAGTCGACGCTGTCTCCAGGCTCTTGCGCGCCACCCGTTCGGCGAAATGCCTCAGCAAGCTCCACGCGCGGCTCGCCGTCACGGGCGCGCTCCGGGAGGACGCCTCCGTCGTCGCGGGCGCCGTCGAGAGGTACCTCTTCTTCGGTAAGCCCGCTTCGGCGGCGGCGGTGTTCGCCGGGTTCTACCGCGGCCGCGCCGAGGTGTATGACCTGAACATTGCCGTCCGGTGCTTCTCGGACCATGGGTTCCACCGGGAGCTTCTTGGCCTCTACCGGGAGGTGTGCGCCTTTGGGTCCGACAACTTCACGTTCCCGCCGGTCATCAGGGCTTGCGCCGCCGTTTCTTGCCTCCGGCTGGGGAAGGAGGTGCACTGCCGGGTTGTGCGGACAGGGCATGGTGGAAATGTCGGAGTGCAGACTGCGCTGCTTGACATGTATGCTAAGTCTGGTCAGGTTGATCTGTCGAGGAGAGTCTTTGATGGCATGAAGAGTAGAGACCTGATCTCCTGGAACGCGATGATTTCTGGCTATTCTCTGAATGGCTGTTTACTGGAAGCTGCTGAGGCTTTGAAGCAGATGCAGCAGGATGGTTTCAGGCCCAATGCTAGCTCTCTTGTTGGCATTGTCAGTATGGTCAGTGGTTTAGGAGTAAGGGATGCCGGTGATCCGTTGCACGCATTCGCACTGAAATCTGGTGTCCTTGGTGACGAGTCCCTTACACCTGCTTTCATCTCAATGTATGCCGCGTTCGGTCATCTTTCATCATCCTTGTCACTCTTTCATCAGAGTTTGGTGGATAATTTGGTATCTTGCAATTCCATGATCTCAGTGTGCATGCAGCATGGAGCTTGGGAGAAAGCATTTGGGGTATTCAGATTGATGCGTTGCAAAGGGCTAGTGCCTAATCTGGTTACAGTGGTATCTATCCTTCCATGTTGCAGTAATTTCTTTGGTATAAACCATGGTGAGTCTGTGCATGGTATGGTTATCAAGTTTGGTCTTGCAGAACAGGTTTCTGTTGTCAGTGCTCTGGTTTCCATGTATTCGAAGCTTGGGGACTTGGATTCAGCTGTGTTTCTTTTCTCTAGTGTTACCGAGAAGAGTCAACTCTTGTGGAACTCCTTAATTTCTGGGTACCTTGTGAATAACAAATGGAACATGGTTATGGGTTCAGTACGAAGGATGCAAATTGAAGGAGTTGATCCAGATGCATTAACTGTCATTAGTGTGATCTCGAAATGCAGACACACAGAAGATTTACATGTCGGGAAGTCTATACATGCATATGCTGTCAGAAGCAGACTTGAATTGAATGAGAGTGTGATGAATGCACTCCTTGCTATGTATGCCGACTGCGGGCAGCTCTCAATTTGTTGTAAGTTATTTCATACAATGGAAGTGCGGACATTAATATCTTGGAACACTATAATATCTGGTTTTGCTGAAAATGGAGATTCAGTGGCTTGTTTAAGATTTTTCTGCCAAATGCGCCTGGCAGACATGCAGTTTGATCTAGTAACGCTGATTGCGCTTATCAGCAGCCTTTCTGCCATTGAGGATATTACAGTTGGAGAATCTGTTCATTCTTTAGCAATTAGAAGTGGATGCAACTTGGATGTTTCTGTTGCAAATGCCCTCATTACTATGTACACCAACTGTGGTATTATTCAGGCTGGTGAGAAACTCTTTGATAGCTTGTCTTCAGTGAACACAATCTCTTACAATGCTCTGATGACAGGATACCGCAAAAACAACTTATTTGAGGAGATCCTACCTTTATTCTATCATATGATCAAGAATGATCAGAAGCCAAATATTATTACGCTGCTGAATTTATTGCCTATCTGTCATAGCCAGTTGCAAGGGAAGACTGTTCACAGCTATGCAATTCGAAATTTCTCCAAGCTAGAAACATCTCTCTTTACATCAGCCATTTGTATGTATAGTAGGTTCAACAATTTAGAATATTGCCACAACCTTTTTTGTTTGGTAGGTGAAAGAAACAACATAGTGTGGAATGCCATCCTATCTGCTTGTGTGCAATGTAAGCAGGCTGGAGTTGCATTTGATTACTTCAGGCAAATACAGTTCCTAAATGTTAAAACTGATGCAGTAACCATGTTGGCACTTATCTCAGCATGTTCACAGCTTGGAAAGGCAGATTTGGCAGAATGTGTCACAGCAATTGCACTGCAGAAGGGCTTTGATGGAACCATTATTGTTCTCAATGCTCTTATAGATATGCATTCAAGGTGCGGAAGCATATCTTTTGCAAGGAAGATCTTTGATATCTCGATGGAAAAAGATTCTGTCTCTTGGAGTACAATGATTAATGCCTACAGTATGCATGGGGATGGTGGGTCTGCCCTTGACCTTTTCTTGATGATGGTATCTTCAGGAATCAAGCCTGATGACATAACTTTTGTTAGTGTTTTATCAGCCTGCAGTCGAAGTGGATTTCTCGAGCAAGGAAGAACATTATTCAGATCAATGCTTGCAGATCATGGCATCACACCAAGAATGGAGCATTATGCATGCATGGTAGATCTATTGGGCCGAACTGGACACTTGGATGAAGCATATGATATTGTTACAACGATGCCATTCAGACCATCCAAAAGTTTGCTTGAGTCATTGCTTGGAGCCTGTAGGTTTCATGGAAATTCTAAACTTGGTGAATCTGTTGGGAAAATACTCACTGAATCTGACCATGGAAATCCAAGATCTTATGTCATGCTCTCTAACATCTATGCTTCAGCGGGCAAATGGAGTGATTACGAGCGACTGCGGTCAGATATGGAAGCAAAAGGATTGATAAAAGATGTGGGAGTTAGCTTAATTGGGGGAACATACTGACCCTGATGAAAGAAGTTATTGTTAGTGGTCCGATACTCATACATTAGGCAGTACAATTTCAGGTCTGGTCGATGCTTTGCTACAGAGGATCAACAGATGAATTAGGTTGTCAAAGCAAAAAACAAAATGCATTCATGTTTCTGCAGCGAAATCTTTTGAACTAGCAGGCAAACATTAAAACTGAAGGAACCATTTCCATCTTGGTGCAACCGCTTCAAATTTATTCAGATTCTGATTATGTAAATGGTGAGATGTCTACAGTTGTTTCATTGCTGTGATGATTGCTGTTTCTGGCAGTACAAAATTAAACATTTTTTCGGTCTGATTTGGATGAAGATAAATGACAGCCTAGGTCAACAGACAGCTAATGAAATCCTGTCAAATTTGATTATCAATTAAAAAAAATGCAACAAGTCCTGTGGAGAATTCAGCTGTCAGTCAGGTCTTCCATTGAGCTGAAACAAAGATCCCTGCAATTGTGGAATTTTGTTTAACTTGGAGGCAAGATATAAATTTGTTGTTAAATGATGCTCTACAGGCCAACTGTACATTGTTTTTCTATTTTCTGGTAATTATAAAACTGAAGCAGGATAGAAGCACGTATATATCCAGCGCTCAACAATAACTTTACATATGGTAACTTACCTATTTACTTTCTTACACTGTAAATTGTTACCATGGAAATCAAGACACACCATTGGATTCTTCTGCTCCATTTCAAAATGTACAGGATAGTATAGAATATAGATGTATCTGTAATAATTGTTTTTGTATTTGCCTTCTTGTAGACTTGAAGAAAAAGGATAAACTGATTCAGGTAGTATTTTAAAAGATGTTCTGTGCAAATTAAACTAATGAAATGCCAGACCATAACAAATTGTCGCCAGAGAAACATGAAGCACCATTCTTTTATATATATAGGTAGAAAGAGACATGTATATATTATTTTGAACTATCATGTTGATTTATTTGAGTGTTTTTTTTTCTAAAATGTTATTCAGCCCAGCCTGTTCGTAACTCATGGTGGCACACAATTTCCTTAAGCATCCAGCTTTTGTGCCTATAGTCTCAAAATAAAGAAGTAATTTTATAATTGGGAGAACAGGTCCAAGTCTACTGCTATGATTATTCAATTGGTCCTTTCTCCTCTCCCACCTGGCTCTCTCCTGCTTCAATTCATTGAACCCCTCCAGTCTTGTCCATCCAATACCTGCAAAAACTGCCAAATCCACTTCTTCCTCCAAAATCAGAAGTGCAAGTGTCTCGGGTAAGCTTCAGCTTATGCTTTTTGTCTTTACATTTGGGATTACATTCTTATCCATTGCCATGATATCTGTACTATTCTGTTGTATTGGTCATATTTCAGTTTTAGACTGATATTGATATTTCGTTTCATGAGTCCTCGACTGATCATTCTGATGTTTTCTGCTGTTTCAGCATGAATATGGTTCTTTGTTTTACAACAGAATTTACTCAAAAGTCAAAATTGAAAACTCTCCTCACTCTCCTGATCTTTTATTCTTTATATGTTTCAGATTGGTGTTTTTATGTTCTTAAAAAGATTGGTGTTTTTAATTTTGTCTGGTAAAATTCAGTAAAAAAAATTGTCTGGTAAAAGTCCATAGTGTACTAATATATTTGTAACTTTCTCTAAATGAATTCTAATTGTTCACGGAAAATAGTAATAATAAGAGCCCGGAAGTATCTCTGGCCAAATAAACAGTATGGCCATTGGTTTTTGAATTATCAAGTTGTTTATGCACTGATAGTTTATGTTTAGTTTGCTGTAATTACCATGAATTATTTGATGCCATCCATAAATGTTCTTCAAATAGTAAAATCACAGAAGATAAATCCTTTGATGAAATAACCAAAAAAAAATCTCCCTTCATGGTTATACAAGTTTGTTATTAGCATGTGTTTGTACGATCATGTATTATTTGATTTTATTCCATTTGAGAAAGCAGCTCTTTCTCCAATATTGGTTTATAATGCTCTGTGATCAACTTATCAGTCTACTTTCCTCTTCAATGTTCTCTTCCATAGATAATATTTAACTGAGTTTGAAGAATGGCAGAGAAGAATCTTGAAGAGCCCGACTCCCCTCTAATTGCATCTTTGTCGGCACCGAAATTCATGCAAAATTCTGCAGAGCCTGAGCTAACTGCAGGTACTGATTGTGAGAACAGTAATCTTCAGAACAGAGAAACAGCCAACTTTGAGGCAGCAATGCAGGAAGAACTTCCAGAAATCTTAGTTGGCAACAAAAGCAATATGCAAGAAATATCAACAGAACAAAAGGCTCCTATTAGCGTCTGCGCAACTCCATCTGAAGTAGACAACAGTGGACTTGTATCTGCCAGTGATCCTCATGCTTTTTCAGTGACCTCTCAGAATGATGATGAATCAACAGAACCCAGCAGTGATTCTACCACAATTCCACCTTCAGAGAAGAACACCCACTCAACTTCACAGACCTCCGACAGGCTGAAAGCAGTGGTCCAACTACAAGATACACCCCTGCATAACACTGGGGATGATGCCTTTTGTTCCTATTCTGTGAAGGCTTCATATGAGACTTCAGCTGCGACACCAGCAAAGGTGAAAGAAAAGAAGCCACATCTGATGCATCATTTTAATGAGCGCCAAATGAGCTTAAGAGACATGCGGCAGAAGGCCCCTGCACCTTTGAACAGATCAAACAGCGGGAAGAACTTCAGAACAGATAACACCTTTGTCGATACAACAACCCACATTGAATCAGTTAAGGTGGCGGCCTCAAGATTTGGTGGCAGCGTCAACTGGAAAACTCGTATAACAGAGCCAGAGCAGGTAACTCAGAGTTGTTCCCTTCCCTTATTTGCATATGAAACATCTCAGCTACAGCTCTATAAATTATGCTGTCATTTGTATTTTTTTCTTTAATTTTGTAAAACCTTGCTTTACCACTTAATTTACTTCTTTTCATATGTGATCTCCATGTAAGATTAACAATCTTAGTACATGCAGGAGAATGAAATCGTACTTGAACTTGATAGGCTGAAGAAGGAAATTTCAGAAAGTAAACGACAAGCGGAGGCTGTAGAGGCAGCAAAGGTGCCTCTGTCCAATGAGTATGAGAAAACAAAGAGGCTAATTGAAGGATTGGAACATGACCTGGAAAAGGCACAAGAGGAGGAGATAATTGCAAGGTTGGGTTTGGAGTTATTTCAGTTAATAGTACATGAGATGCGGGAAGGAGATACCAGTGATGGTGGTGTCATTGGCAGGGAGAAATTGAATATAATCAAAGAACAGTACAACGCAGTGCTGGCCAACTTAATGTTAGTGAAGGATGAGTCCGGAAAAGTGCAGGAGAATTACGAGACCTTGTTGATTGAACGGGATATTTCTATCGGGAAAGCTCAGTTAGCCGTTTCAATGTCTGAAGGTGCTGTAAGGAAGGTTGAGGAGCTCACCGTAGAACTTAACAGACTGAAGGTGGAGTTGGAATTGGCTCATTCCACATGCCATGATGCTGAAAAACATAGTAAAGACACGTCCTTGGCATGTGATGAGGATTCCCTTAAATGGAAGAGTGATCTGAGGCAAGCAGAAGAGGAGCTCAATCAGCTCGCCAAGAAAATTTCTTCTATTGAAGAATTGAAATCAACACTTGACACATCAACCGGCTTGTTGCTCAAGCTGAAAAATGAGCTAGCTGGATATGTGGAAGCTAAGCCAATTGATAAAGAAGCACAAGGAAATATTACTCAAAGATCTTTACACAATGAAGTTATTCTATCTACACGAGAGTTGGAGGAGTGTCTGATGAGCGTAGATAAGGTGAGAGATGAAGTTTGTGCTCTGAATGTTGCTGCGGCATCGCTAAAAACAGAGTTGATCAAAGAGAAAACGGCACTTGCTACCATGAAGCAGATGGAAGCGACGTCATCCATCGCTGCTGCATCTCTAAGGGTGGAGATTCAGCTAGCACTCCGGGAACTGGAAGCAGTTCAGGCCAAGGAGAAAGAATCCCGAAATGGAATGCTTGGTTTGCAGAAGATTATGGAAGATACAGCCAAAGAAGCTGATGAGTCTAAGTCCATCGCAAGAGAGGCACAGGAGAAGCTAAGAAAGGCCAAGGAGGATATGGACCATGCAAAATCTTGTCTTGATACTATGGAATTCAGGATCCAGGCAGTTCTAAAGGAGATGGAGGCCACGAAAGAGTCCATGAGGCTGGCAATTGATGCCCTCAGACCGTTTGACAGTGAGCTTCCAGTGGATATCGAGGAACAAGGCTCTCAGATAGTCACAGTTGACCTGGATGAATACCAATCTCTCATTGCGAAATCCAGCAAGGCAGAAGAACTTGTCCATGAAAGGACGGCTTCTGCAATTGCACAGGCCAAGATAGCCAAGGAGTCCGAGTCTCGTACCTTATCAACACTGAGTGAAACACACAAGGTTTTGGAACAACGAAAGCAGGCATTGGTTGCTGCCACAGAGAGAGCTGATAGAGCCACTGAAGGCAAGCTTGCCATGGAGCAAGAATTGAGAAAATGGAGAGAAGAGAATGAGCAGCGTCGTAAGGCTGGCGAAGCTTTGAAATCGCAACTTAATCCATCAAGCACCCCTGTGATCATCGTTGAACGCAGCAGCGACACCAAGAGCACAAGCAAGGATGATAGTTACGCCTCGGTTCATCCACTGCTGGATATGTCTGCGAGGAGTACCCCTAATGATTCAGCGTTGCTCTCGAATAAGAAGAAAAGAAAGAAGCTGTCGTTCTTCCCCCGCATCACCATGTTCTTCACGAGGAAGAAGTCTAGAGCTGCTATATGAACAAAAATAACTTTGTTTTAATGTTTTGCGTGATAGAACTTTGTGGATATGTGTATATTTGCAATAAGCGGATGTGTTGCATACAGCTTACGCGACTTGTAATTTATCTACCAACCTGTTGTATATATTGTACGGAATTGATGATGCATTTCATTTTCTAGGACAAGGTAATCATCTGTACTGTGAACAATAGTACCGAAAGATTTACCCTTTTGTTGTGTTAACCTTTAAAATTGAGTATCCACTATTTTCTCCTTTGGGTAGATGTATGCTTTAAAATTACAAGCAGAGAGAAGTTATGAGGCTTTTGCTGCAGCAAATTATTTGCCTCCGTGCAGAGATACCATATATTATATATAGCAACAATATATCCATGTTAGTTGAGACTAGAAAGAAAACAATTTTACTTTAAGGGTGTCAATTGATGTATGGCTATATATATATAGCAAGAACTTGTTTATAAATATATTTGTACAAACTACAAAATGCAAACACGGTCTAGTAGTCCGATTCTTGTAGGGAAAAAGATTGCAAGAGAAAAATAGCATCACCATTCAACATAATATAGGCACTGCTTTCATGGACATGGGAAACATTGGGATCTATATGTTTAGCTTCTACCACTGGACTTGCAATTCCAGCATTTCAAATTGGCTCCTCGAGCTACATTGCAACCAGCAGAAACATAATTTGTTTCGTTTCTACTACCATTGGAGTGATCGTGCAAGGCACGCGGCAATTTGTTTTTCTTTAGCAACGCCTGGAGAAAACAGAATCCTTGATTGACCTGAATTGTATTTGGGAAACATCATGTACCACGAAACATAACTTCATAAACATGACAATTTCGCCCGGCTCACTTTCTTTTGGTAAGTTCATTTGGCTGCTACTTGGTGCAAGTAGTTGATGATGATTTTGTTATAACTTGAGATCGTACAAATCCAAATTATGCTTAATTTTGTTAAGCATGTAGTTAGTTATTCAGATGCAGTCTACAAAATCGAAAAGAGTTGTTGCTCATACTTCAGGGACAACTTATTAGATACTAAGCATGGGAAGAATGCAGTTTGCTGAATTAGTATAACAATGAATGATCAGAAAATCTCATTATGCATACAAAAAAAATGTACAATATCTGAATATCATGTTTCTAGAACAAAACTGCTACCTGGTGATTCTCAAAATCGAGTAAAAATATTCTTGTTGACAGTAGCGCTGCATTTGAAATCTTCATTAAATATTTCATTAGATAACTTATATCACAACCAGCCTTATATATGATATATTCAGTTGTGTGATCGTTGGCAGAACTTACTATGCCGATCTTGCATTCTGCAAATTTTAATTACTAAGACATGCAGCACACGCGTACAGCTTACTTAAGATATCTTTCCGGCCAATAGTTGGTTCAATCAAATTCTACTGGTATCACGAAATATTTATACATGATATGCTAGCTATTACTAGGAGAGCAAATTTCTGGCATTGCTTCCATAACAATGAATATCGAACTAATTAAGAAAAGAACGGTTGATTGGTTCATACAGCTCAGTATATATATAATATAGTAGTGTAATAATGTTTTCTTCATTACAACTAGTACTAAGAAGAAAAGTGTGGTATTACCTCTGTTCTATTATAGCTACTTCTAGTATTTAAAATTTATCCCATAATATACTATTTCTCCACTGATTCTCTTTTCTCAACCAATTATAACCATGTCTTATTTATTTTATTTACATATATACATTCTCATTTCAACCATCACAACCGTCTCTTGTTTAATTTCACCTTATTACTTAATGTCTCTTAAAAGTGCAGAAGTAGTTACAAGATGGGATAGAGATAGTAACTAAGAATTATATATTTTGTACTCTCTTTTTCTCAAAAAAGCTCAATACAAATTTAGTGGTAATATAATAACAACAGACCAAAATGCCCTTGTACAATACTATTGTAATTAATTGTTGATTTTTTTTTCGGAAGTACTACTATAATATTTGTGTTTATTGTTTACCATGCAGTAGTAGTTTGGATGTGGCAAAAGTTGATTTTTTTTCTTTTACAAATGCAAAACTCTATAAGTTGTTTGTTTTTGAACGGAGAGTAGTAGCTGTAACTTATACTCCCTCTATTTCGTTCTAGCATTGTCCACATTCATATATATATATATATATATATATATATTAATGAATCTAGACACATATATGTGGACAATGCTAGAACGTTTTATAATATGAAACGGAGGGAGCACACAAACATTAATCATCCGATAAGAAATTAACTGCGTGTCATGCTAATTAGCTAGCGATCCTGCTATATATATATATACCACTCTCCTCTGCCATCTAGCCTTGTTCGATATCTTTTTGAAAAGAGAACCGAAAAACCATCAACGCAATGTTGAGCCATACTTGGACACAATTACACAATGCAGCTAGCTAGCCACGCAAAGAATTAGCCATGTGCTTCAGCCATGGAAGGCAGATCGGGATCACTGCTGTCCGTGACAGATGTAGCTCGGTGGCATCGCTTGTTTTCTGTTAGGTGTGGCAGCCCTAGAAAATCACACGCATATCAACATTTTCCATCGAGTAGTCACGATGTTATCTACAGGCTGGGGCCGACATCCACTACCCGGTGCCATCTGGCAATGTCCAGTGTTAATTCACTAGTTTAGTGACGCCGCCCAGCGAACATGCGGTTCTTGTTTTTTACGTGTTGAGGGCCATTTTGATTCTCATTACGAGACATCTTCTCCCTCTATTACATTTTACTCCCCCGTATTTTAATGTATGACGCCGTTGATTTTTCGATCAACGTTTGACCATTCGTTTTATTCAAAATTTTTTGTACAAATATAAAAATATTTATGTCATGCTTAAAGAATATTTAATGACGAATCAAGTCACAATAAAATAAATAATAATTACATAATTTTTTTAATAAGACGAATGGTCAAATGTTAGATAAAAAATCAACGGCGTCATATGGAGGTAGTATATTATAAGTTGTTTTTGACTGTTTTCTAGTGAATTTTTTTTTAAGTTTAGTCAAGTTTATAGAAAAATTTAATGCATATCTACAACACCGAATTAGAAATTTAATATGGTTTGATAATATATTTTGTTTAGGTTAGAAATGTTGATGTATCTTTTTATAAACTTAGTTAAACTTAAAATAAGGAAAACGTCAAAACGACTTATAATATGAAAATTATGAAATGTAGGGAGTACTCGAGATTTATAATAGTCAACTCTATGTATTAGTAAATCAGTTTTCTGGACGGCTACAAACCTTTCTTATTTTTTTTCTTGACATTATTTGAAGGAATGAAAATTAATGTGCTAGCTACGTACGTTACATTTCTCAATTCAAGTAAAAAAATTACAGTAGCGCTGCATGCATCGGAGAGCATGTACTTTAGCCGCAGCACACAACCATCCGTTAAATTAAACTTTCCAAACCTATTGTCGTCATCACAAACTATGCAGAGTTTGCATAATTTTACAAATATAGGCAAGGCGTTTGTATGCAGCTCTTCAAATCAGATTGAGATATATAGCTAGGAATATAATACTAGACAAGGTGCCAATTAGATTGTAAATATAGGAGCTGTTCAGATTGTAGCCAAAATAAACCTTAGTAAATTTTGGCAATGTCAAAATTTTGATAAGTTAGCAATATTATCAAAATTTTAGCAGGATTTCTATGTATTTAAAGTTTTGCAAAAAGCTAAATGTATATTTAATGTTTTGCAAAAAATTAAATGTGTGCACAATTTTGCTAACTTTACCGAAAAATTGGTATGGTTTGTAATGACATTAATCTGAACATACAGCCTCATACACCTATACATATATTGCCTTATGAATGTAGATTACTTTGCCTTAATTTCTTCATCGAAACACAAAAGGAAAGGCTTGTGTGGAAAACGAAATTGTCATATGTAAGGATGCAACACATTCTCTTCTCACGTGTTCGTCTACAGATAATCACAGTAAAAAAAAACCCTTATATTAAATCTTGCAATTCTGAAATGCTGGATCAAAGCAGCGAAAAATATTGCCATTTTGTGCAAAATTTTCCCAGGTCGAACGATGATTAATTGTACATTCATACGAGTGCAGATATACCCCATCATGTTCACTATAAGTAGCTAGCTAGATACTTTAATTTCTCCCTATTTATTCAGAACCACAGATTATTTAATTAGCAACCCCAAACTTAGCATGCATCTGTGACCTTTAGCTACGGCTGCCGGGCGGTATGGAAGTTGTGACAATGTTGCCTCTAGGCATGGAAGGAGTCAGGCTTGGGGCCATATCTCGCCGTCTTTCTTTGCCTTGCCCCCTTTCCTTCGCTAACCGTTCACGTCGCGTCTCTCCTCCCTTATCTCTTTTCATCTGCATGCGCTTCTCAGTTTTTGGCCCCATTTACTTCCTCAAAATTTTTTCCCAAAAACATCACATCAAATCTTTAGACACATGCATTAAGTATTAAATATAGATAAATGAAAAAACTAATTGTACAGTTAGGGAGAAAATCGCGAGACGAATCTTTTAAGCATAATTAGTCCATAATTAGCCATAAGTGCTACGGTAACCCACATGTGCTAATGACGGCTTAATTAGTCTCAAAAGATTCGTCTCGCGGTTTCCAGACGAGTTATGAAATTAGTTTTTTTATTCGTGTCCAAAAAACCCTTTCGATATCCGGTCAAACATCCGATGTGACATCCAAAAATTTTCTTTTCTCAAACTAAACAGGCCCTGCTCGCTCCCACCACTTACCTCATCTCCTCTGGCTATGTCTTGCTCGTCTTGTTCGGTCGTGGTCGTCGACACAGATAAACAATTGGGTCTTTGAGCTTCCTCCCGTGTGTTCTTTTAGTTTTTTTTTTTTTTTTTTTGCTGTCCTTCTCTGTTTCCGTTGTTGGGGTACAGAGGGGTTTACGGTTTACCTTGCTGACGAAGAGACAAACAAGCTTGGGGGAGGAGATGGCAAGCTTCGGTGAAGAGAGCAGAGCCGTGACGCAGAGGGGGAGGCAAAATTGCTATTTTGTATGGCTTATCTCTCCTCAATTGTGTGATAATATATTTTAACGTGTCCTGTGGTCCTACAGCAAATTATCACCCTTTTGTAGTATCCTTGAACAAATTCACGTATTTACGGTGTTTCACAGCTAATTACATATTTTTTGAGTGTCCTGTGATAAATTTTGCCTATATTTAAAGCTGCTTGGTCCAAGCTCTATGTACCA